AAAAAAAAAAAAAGAAAAGACTATGGGAAAAAATTCAAATGATATAAAGATTTAGAGAACAGTATAATGAACGCCCATATACCACCTTGCCCCAATTTATGCCTAATTTTGTTATCAACCAATTTCCTTAGGTACATTTTTTACCACTCAGATTATTTTAAAGTCAATCCCAAACTCGGTTTCATTTTATTCATAAATATCATTTGTTGCTTTTTAATTTTTATAATTTTTAAAATTACTTTCTAAATAAGTTATATTACTTTTTATATTCATTAGTGCCTATCTCCCCACACTCTCATCAATACTAAGAATTATCCTTGTGATCTCATGGTTCAAAATGCAATTTTTAATAGTGTTTAAATTATGAGTACTTTGAGCAATTTTTCATGTGTATATTGTTGCTTTCAATATTTTTTTCCCACTGAAATATATTGTTTAATTGAGTAAAGAAATGAAACACCTGTCACTTTTCATTTTTCTTGGTTTGTCTGGGCTTTATACACCTAAAAATTTTTATTTTTCTTAAAAGTTCCAGCCTTTCATCCTTTGTCTTTCTTTTTTGCCTTTTGTGTTTATATTCTATCTAGGAAGCTCTTTTTTTCTCTTTTTTTCTTTTAATAAATGATAGCTGTGTACGTTAATGCAATCATGGGGTACAGTGTGGTGTTTTCATATACAATTTGAAATATTTTCATCAAACTGGTTAACATAGCCTTTATGTCATTTTCCTAGTTATTGTGTTCTACTTTTAGAAAGATTCACCTATACCCCTATGAGACAAACCATAGAGGTGATCCCTCCATCCCCCTCCTGTATCCTCCCCCTCCCCCTCCCATTCTTAGGCTATAATTAGGTTATAACCTTCATATGAAAGCTATAAATTAGTTCCATAATAGGGTTATATACATTGGATACTTTTTCTTCAATTCTTGAGATACTTTGCTATGAACATTTTCCAGCTCCATTCTTTTTTTTTTTTTTTGAGACATAGTCTCACTCTGTCGCCCTTAGTAGAGTGCTATGGCATCACAGCTCATAGCAACCTCTAACTCCTGGGCTTAGGCAATTCTCTTGCCTCAGCTTCCAGAGTAGCTGAGGCTACAGGTGCCCTCCACAATGCCCGGCTATTTTTTGTTACATTTTGGCCTGGGCTGGATTCAAACCTGCCAGCTCTGGTGGCTGACACTTTAGCCGCTTGAGCTACAGGTGCCGAGCCAGGACCCCCCCCCTTTTTTTTTTTTTTTAGAAACAGAGCCTCAGTAGAGTGCTGTGGCATCACAGCTCATAGCAACCTCCAGCTCTTAGGCTTAGGTGATTCTCTTGTCTCAGTTTCCTGAGTAGCTGGGACTATAGGCACCTGGCTATTTTTTGTTGCAGTTTGGCTGGGGCTGGGTTTGAACCCACCACCCTCGGTATATGGGGGCTGGCACCCTACTCACTGAGCCACAGGTGCTGCCTAGGAAGCCCATTCTTAATTATTATTAATAATTATTATAATTATCTAATAATTATTAGAATTACTTGTTAGTGTTTTGTTCATTTCACTTTTTTTTTTTTTTTTTGAGACAGCATCTTGCTCTGTTGCCCAGGCTAGAGTGTCATGGTATTGTCACATACTGCAATCTCAAATGCCTGGGATCAAGAGATCTTTCTGACTCAGCCTCCTGTTTACCTGAGGTTATAGGTGCATGCCACCATGCCCAGCTAAAAATTTTTTCTTTAATGTAGAGATGGGGTCTTGCCAAGTTGCTTAGGCTGGTACTGAACTCCTGGTGTCAAGAAGACCACTTTGGCCTCCCAAAGTGATATGATTATAAGCATAAGCCCCCCATACAGCTTCACATTTTAAGGATAAATCTTTGCTTCAGCTACAATTTCTGTTGTGTAAGAGTTGAGATATGGATTTAGCTTTATTCCCTTAGTCCTCCCTAATTTTCCTCTAGGCCCACAAATTGTCTCTACACCATTTACTCAATAATTCTTTCCCGACTGATTTGAAATGCACCTTTATCACATACAATTTTCTATTGAAAATCCAAATTCCTGTATATATTTGAGTCTGTTTCTATACTCTCTGAACCAGTGCTACCTATTAATGATAGAACTTTCTGTGATTTAAAAAAATTTTTTTTGTCTACAATGTCCTAAACAGCCACATATGTCTACTGAGCTCTTGACATACGGCTAGTGTGATTGAGGAATGAATTTCTGGGGTGGCACCTGTGGCTTAGTGAGTAGGGCACTGGCCCCATATACTGAGGGTGGTGGGTTCAAAACTGGCCCCAGCCAAACTGCAACAACAACAACAACAAAATAGCCGGTGGCGTTGTGGTGGGCGCCTGTAGTCCCAGCTACTTGGGAGACTGAGACAAGAGAATCGCCTAAGCCCAAGAGCTAGAGGTTGCTGTCAGCTGTGGCACTCTACTGAGGGCAACAAAGTGAGACTCTGTCTCTCTAAAAAAAAAGAATTTCTGTTTTTTTTTAAGTTAACATAAATTTCAATAGCTGTATTCTGCTAATGGCTAGTATACTGGGCAGTACTGTAGTATATTCAACTGATATATATCTATTTATGGCTATTTATGTATTGGTATCAATTTTCTTTTTTAAAACCATCTTAACCATTTTTAAGTGCATAGGTAAGTAGTGTTAACTACATTTATATTGTTGAAACGATCTGAACTTTTTATCTTGTAAAACTAAAACTTTATACTAAAGTATAATAAAGTATATTAGTTTTAAACTAAAACTAGTTCTCATTTTCCCCTTCTTCCAGCCTGTGGTAACCACCACTTTACTTTTCCGTTTCTATGAATTTAACTACTTAGATACCTCATATAACTGGAATCACGTAGTATTTTCCAGTCTTTGGCTGTTTTATTTGACCTAACATAATGTCTTCAAGGTTCCAGATCTCAACATGTTTATTAAAAAATATGATAGGCTTGGCGCCTATGGCTCAACCGGCTAAGGCGCCAGCCATGTAAACCAAAGGTGGTGGGTTCGAATCCCCAGCCCAGACCCGCCAAACAACAATGACGGCTGCAACCAAAAAATAGCCGGGCATTGTGGCGGGCACCTGTGGTCCCAGCTACTTGGGAGGCAGAGGCAGGAGACTCGCTTAAGCCCAGGAGTTGGAGGTTGCTGTGAGCTGTAATGCCACGGCACTCTACCCAGGGGGACAGCTTGAGGCTCTGTCTCAAAAAAAAAAAAAAAAAAAAATGATAAAACTAATCCAGTATAAATTTTTTTATTTCCATTTTTCCAGCACAAGGCAACTCATTGCTATTTATTTTTGGTTCATTTGTATATAAATATGTGTAGATGTGTTGTTAAAATTGGGGCATGCTATTTCATCATTAGGTATATTCCTATAAATATGCCTTGTTAGCAGACTTTTGTGGCTAGAATAGTTGTAATTTTTTTATCT